GTGTGTGTGTGTATGTGTATGTGTATTTGTATGTATATGTGTGTATGTGTACGTGTGTGTGTTTGTGTTTGTGTATTTGTATGTGTATGTGTATGTGTATATGTGTTTGTGCATGTCCGTGTGTGTATGTGTATGTATACATATATGTGTGTGTACGTGTGTGTGTGTGTATGTGTATGTGTATGTGTATGTGTGTGTGTGTGTGTGTGTGTGTGTGTTTGTGCACGTGTATGTGTATCTGTATATGTATGTATACGTGTATGTACAGTATGTGTACCTGAATGTGTGTGTGTGAGTATTGTATGAAAATAAAAAAAGATGTAAAACTTCAAAATAGCCAATCAGATTCAACCTCAAAAGGAACAAGGACAAGGTGACCAAATAAAACACAAACTGCCTTTCATACCTTTCTTCCGCTTTATCCGTTGCTTGTTTGCGGAGGGAGCAGTCAAAGCAGAGAGGCCCAGAATACCCTCCATGCACACACATTCTTCTGCTGCTCCAGGGGAATCCCAGAGCAGTCCCAGGCCAGCTGAGAGACGTGTCCTGGGTGTTTCCCGGGGGTCCCAGATGCCCAAGCCACCTCAACTTGTTCCTGTTGATGTGGAGAAGCAGCGGCTCTACTCCGAGCTCCTCACCCTATCTGAGTCCAGCCACTCTGTTTATCCTTAATGATCACGTGTTCTGCTCCTTCTTTATCCCTACAAAAGTTCAATACAGCTCTGACTGCAGACGCTGCTCCCTCACAGTTCACACAGGCACACATCCTACCCTCACTCATGAACAAGACACTGAGGTAACATAATGTATGAGGGAGGTAACACAGACCAAGATGTAAAATAATGAAATAAAGAATTCATTTGATACAACAGATTAGTACAGAAGAAAGTCGTTCTTACATTCTCAAACTTGCAACATACAAAACAAAAAAATTACAAGTAAATGCAAACATAAAATAATCAAGGTAAGTAATAACTGAACAAAATGTCATATAAAAAAAATCTAAATTGGCAAAGTAGACGACAGAACACACATTTCAAAGGCTTGTAACATAGGGTTAGGGTTAGGGAAGACTTACAATAGATTAGCTGTTTGACCTGGAATGTTCCACTCCTATCTTGAATTCCTTTTATAAATGTTTTTGTATTTTTACACAATGAAACAAGACTCTCCACTGACTAGATTTGTTGGCGTACAGTACGAGGGCCATATTGTGGGAGACTGTTTTGTTATAAACATGGAGAGAAGCCTGTTCCAGATCTTTCACTGGTAAAATATGAAACATGTTTGAAATGATCATTCAATATTTCTTACACATGAAAGTTTAAATAATAAAAAATAAAAAACAGGAGTCAGCGCACTGGAGCATTTGCAGTGTGTTCTGAGGAGGGGTGCGGACATCACTCTTCATTGGAATCCTATGACAAACCAGGCCTGACCTCTGAGCCTCACTGCAGGAGATCTGCAGCATGATTCACATCAAAGTCACAAGAGAGAGTTAGTTTAGTCTTTATTTGAAAGGGACAGTGCTCAGGAACATTAAGCTCAAACACAGATATGTTCTGAGATGAAGTTTTATCTGCAGTCCCCGGTAGCGGTCACAATTTACCAGTAAGGTGCGGCTTATTTTTTTATTTTTTTTTGTGGCAGTAGACCAAAAGAATTGATGAGTAGTATACAGAGGTCCAATTGTAAGAATTGTCAATCAAGCAGAATAAATCAAGTTTAAAAGTCCTCCCATATAATATCTTTGTGTAAATATCTCATATAATTTTTAGTTTTTTAGTTCTTTGTATAGACATGAAAGCGGAAAGAGAGAAGTAGATGTTGCTCTTCAGCGTTCTGCTTCACACTGGAAGAAAAAGAACAGTCAGTGACTCACTTCTAACTCTTATTACTCACAGTAAAGTTTTTCAATATCACAATGTGGGAGGTAGGTGCGGCGTATAACCTCGTGCGGCTTGTGCAAGTACAACATTCAATTTCTTTCTAAATGTTAGGGGCTGCGGCTTATAATCAGTTGCAGTTTATAGTACGGAAAATACGGTACATATTAAAAAGTGTTATTTTACGTGTCAATGCAAAAACATACAATACATCACAGTTCTATAACTTTTATTGAAGGACATCTGCAAAAACTACAGGGGAATCTGAGGGCCGCACTTATAGGAATGTGTGGAAAATGGACTCGTAGTGGTTTAATAATGTCAATACAATTACACCTTAGTTGTCAGAATCCTCCTGTCTGTGACACATGCACAGTAGTTAGTGTGTGTATTATGATTTACTACTTATCTAACTTTCATTTATTTTCATTTCAATAAATGTGTGCAACCGCAGATTCTCCCCGAACAAACAGGCAACCCAAATGAAAGCCTCATTCTGCTCTCTGATTTTATAATCTGCTTGAAAAGTGTAAACATTCCCCATTGTATTTTTCATCAGGAATAACTCCAGTTTAAACTTGTCTCCCCCTATTTTTAATCAAAAATGAAAATATATTAATGCACTATTTACCCAAACAAGCCATTGATAAAAGAATACATACATAAATACAGAATTCCATACTAAATATACATTTAATTATTTATTGACATTTTTAATACATTTTTAGTACAATAATGTATTTTTATTTTTATTTTTTTCAATAAAACACTCCATACACAGAGCATGCAATAGATAATATGAGAGATTTTCAGAGAAGATTCATGATAGGATGAAATCAATCAATATCAACAATTCCAGTTTTCCCAAGATCTTACATGTCGGCACAAACAGTCGGCAAACTACAAACTACTAAGAATAATCTCTTATCGTTCTCATTCTCTTAAAAATAGCCGGGAAGTCTTGTGTAGCTGTTTTGTTTACTAAGCTGTCAACTGAAATAGTTTTAGAAGACGTTCCGGTGGTCTGGTCATTTTCACCAGACCTTTCATACAGATCCTACTGTATAAGTATGTCATGTTTATTTATATGGCACACAGACCAAGGTCACACAAAGCCCTTTATAATCTTCTTAAATTTTAGTGGTAGGGGGAACCGGAGCACTTGGAGGAAACCCACATATACAGGGAGAAAACAGAAAGTGTGTGTGTGTGTGTGTGTGTGTTTGAATGTCATGCTGCGATTATAAAAAAAAAATAGAATATAAGATAAGAAATCTCAATCAGTTCAATTCATTAACTTGGTTTGCACATTGAATAAAGTTTACAGTACGGAATAAACAATTATTTTTAAGCAATTATTTCTAAATAATATTCACTAATTAAATCAAATCAATACATTTAGAGCATTTACAAATTATGATAAAATATTGAAAAATATTAATATTAAAATATTGTTTATAAAAATCATTGGTTTACCTGCATTCAATCAAAAAAAATTGTAAAGGACTTGACAATTAGATAAACCTTTATTCATCCCTCAGTGGGAATATTTCAACGTCATTTCTGCGCACATTACAGCAGAAGACAATGGAAAAATAAGAAAATAAGAGCACTCAGTTTGAATACATCAAACAGGATCTATTATTGAAGATAATACAAAACTAAATGATAAAATAAAAAGACAATAAAATCAAATTCTGGAGCTATATCTTGAGTCTACATAAGTCCATCCGTGTCCTGCGCTCCTTCGCTGTCTCTGTCCGGATCCCACTTTATAAAAATAGCCTGCGGAGAAGTTGACGTAGTGAATGAAGTCGTAATCAGCCGCACTTCAAAGAGCCCAAACGAACAATCCCTCTGTGTTTTTAACTTGTTCCATGGCTTTAATCTCTGCTCCTCCAGCCACTTATGGAGTCAGAAAGTCCACGGTTCTGTTCTGGATATGAGGACGTCACTGTAAAGAAGCCTATGGAGCCAGCTGAGCTCATTTATTTAGCCACACTACAGTCACAGATAACACTTTCCTGGACTGGTTTTCTTTGAGTCGCTACCTATAGAGAGCTAAGGGCCGAAAACATTTCCACTTTTTCTCTCTTTCCTTCAAAGTAACGGACAAAGGAACCTCCAAAAGTGCTGATGTAGCAAGAAGGATGGTGTTTTCATAAGTGGCCTGGCGTCTCCGTGCCGTAACACAATCCGTTATCTGTCTATGGGACGGAGCGACAGGGGAAGTAGCTCAGGCTCCATTGTGTGAGTGTGGGAGCAAAAAGTAAATACAAACAATTCTCTTGGACATGAAATAATTGTATTGACAAACAGGGAATATTTTTTATTTATTTGGTGTTGTGATGTAATACTAAAGAGATCACATTGTTTGTAGATGTTAGAAAGATGTATTAATGAATATAGTATGATAACAGACTATGGGGGAGTATAAGACCGTTACACCATCTAAAGTGACAAGAAAAGTCCCTAAAAATATTGGGTTTCATTTTGCTTGTGTTTCCTTGTCCAATTCCCTGTTTCACTGTGGTTGTTTTTACGTTTATTCATATCCATCTGTTATTCTCTTTGTAGAACCTCTTTTTAAACATTTGAATCTGTGGTACAGTAATTTACTATATTTACCTTTTAATTTATGAATTTTTTCCCATTATGTTATCCAAATAATTAGTTTTATTCCACCTTAGTATGGAAATTTAGTAGAATTTTCTGTTATGTTTGGATTTGGAGACTGATACAGGTCAAATGTATGATTGAATATGAATTTTTCCTTTTTAGGGGAGTTGCTTTCTTAAGAAAATCACTAATGACTATTATCTATCAAATCTCACTGTTATCTGTGAGATTTGTGGAATTTGAATGACAACACTAAGCTCAAAACCAGGTTAAAAAACGGTTCTGTTTAGCTGTGCATACAACTGAGGGATAATATCTTCACTGTTTAATGTACTGTGATCATTTATGATTTTAATGCCTTGTGTGACTGTCTTTTTCTTGTTTTGTTCAGAACTTTGAGTCGCCTGCTGCACGAATTGCGCTATACAAATAAACGTGCCTTGCCCAAATCCACCTTGCAGTTTTCTAGTGTTTCTATATTGTCGTCGGTGAGTCATGGGAGTTGTGAATGCGCCTACACAGCCCCCGGTGGGACGTCCTGGCTCCACGCTGGTGTCTTCTGTGTTGTTGTGGAAGTGCGACAGAGACACCGTGATGGGGACAGGAGACAAGGGGAGACTGGGGGAGACATGTGGGGGTGGGTGGGGGGCGTTCGAAGGAGGTCCCAGGACACCTCACTGGCCTCTCCCTCTCTCGCTGACAGGCTCTGGTCAGTGTCCTGTAGCGGGGGTCATGGCCTGGCTCATACACACACACACACACACACTTATCTGAGTCCATCTTTGGGACGCCTGCGCAGTCAGCCTGGCTCCACAGCAGACCACTACTGCCTTCCTGCCCCAGACCAGAGACGCACATGAGAGGAGGCTGGAGTGGATGGTGGACGGACTGGCTGGGAATAGACACAGATTTAGCTCACATGCAAATAATCCCAATTCAGAGAGCATTTTTTGACATGTTTTGAATATCGTCCAACTCCATGTGGACGTAAACTTAGGACAACTTAAGTCTCCGCCAGAGTTCTGTTCAGAGTTCTGTTTAAAGGAGCATTCCTGCCTTTTATGACTTTCACCGAATAAATAAGGCCTTAGAAAGTCTATTTTTGAATTACTTGTATTTTCCCCCTTTGTTTCTTTTTGTATGTGTATCTCTGTATATTATTGCTGTAACACTAGCACATCATAAAGTGTATTGATTAAACACATTAACACATTTACAGGTCCAGTACTCCCTGGAGTACTGGACCTGAAGAGTTTTGTAATCTCAATGGGACTTTCCTGGTTTAAGAAAGGTTAAATAAAAAACTAAATCATATTTATATTTTATACCACTTCTTTAGCCCCTTTAGGGTTTTTGGTATCAATCCATCTCATATTATTGTAAAAATATAATGTTTCTACGTAGATCAACTGCAGTATATACTAAACAATAATATCTTTTGGTTTTTGACTTCTCTTCCTGAACTGTACAATAGCACTGGAATTTTCCCTCAAACAAGTTCAAAACAATAGGTAAATATGAATATGAATATTGTCAAAGATTCAATTGTTAGCCCAGTGTGAGAATTATCAAAAAAGGGTGTAATACATTATTCAAGAAATGACACATCTTAGAAAAATTCAAAAGTAGTCGGATGGTTTTTAGCATCTACAACTGGTTTTGATAAAATGTCTTTGTTCCCTGTTTTGAGAGAGACAAAAAAATCATCCGATGGTAAATAACACAGTATGTACTAATCACTCTGAGTTCACAGTGAGGCTGGCCAGAGCAGAGTCCGCTGGTGCACCTCCATGCACTGACAACAAAACTAAAATAGCCCAATATAATACAGCGCCTGGATAAGGACCCTACTTTTCTCCCACACCACAAGTTGAGCTCAAGTTCAGACACAAACATCTCTCACAAAACGTCATCTAATATTGAGAGAAAATGTCCCAGTTTTGTCCGGCATCAAACTGTACTTGTCATCGCTCAGTGACCTGTGAGTGACCAACAGTGGAGACCTCGGTGCTCGGTCCCCTCGGTGAGACGTTTCATCATGAAAGCTGCAGTCCGGCTCACATTCTCATGACCTAATGAGTGGTAAATGCTTCAATGTTGTGTTTTCTCTTCTCTCCCTTTTCTCATCATCATCATCATCAGCAGCAGCAGCAGCAGCAGCAGCAGCTACGACCGCAACATGGCCGACAGTTCAGAGCCACCGGTGACGAGAGGCTGAGAATGTGGTGATGTCACATGTGTTATTTTTGGGTTAATTTGCCTGAATATGGTCTTCAGGATTGTGTCATTTCTGGGTTATGCAAAAGATAATTAGATCATGAATCAATGTACTATGTGATAATTGTATAAACAGTGTAAATCACTGCTTGGAGGGTTAAAAAAGCTGCCAAAAGTCACTATGTGGGAAAATGAAAGTGTGAATGATATTCTGTTTTTTAACTCAAACATAGAAGTCTAAAATATTTGCTTAGTATTTGCCTCTTCACCTCCACTACTTACTGAACTACAGTAATCAATGTATGATTGATTTGTTTACATATGAAAGCATGGAATTTTGTCTGTCAATGTGTGCCCAACAAGCCTTGCTGCAGCCATGGCAACAAAGAGACATCGTTGAACCAATAATAGAGAAAATGTGCAATAATTTATCAAATTACACCAAAATGGTTTTTTAACAATAAAGCATGATGTTTTATTGATAAATGGAATTGGCTCAGGTCAGAATAGTTAAACAGAATCTGAGTTTTAATCTTCTGATGCTCCCGCTGTAGCAGGCATGTCCAAACTAAGGCCTACGGGCCGATTGTGGTCCTAAGTGTCATGTTATATGGCCCCTTGACTTGCCAACCCATTATAATATTTGAGATCATAAACACAAGTTCCCATAGTCATCCAGCCAACTTCAGCTCTACCAAAATGGACACGTTATACCTCGTTATAAAGCTCAGGACCTATGGAAGTCAGTCGTTTACATTATTTGTTTATACTGACATTTATCTATGATTATGTCACAAAATTCATTCCGTCTATGGCGCCAATGCAGCTAGTGAAATCGTAAACATATCATTCAACCAACTTCCTGGACAGACATGTAACGGCCTCTATTCGCCTGTGACTTGACTCTAGCATTAGACAAAATGTAACACAAGATTAAGTGTCTTGCCTAAGGGTATTACAACACCATAGATTTGAACCTCCTGCCTTCCAATGGGCCACTGTTACGGTTTTAAAATCACAACATCATTCTCTTATTTATGCCTTTTTCCCATCTTTCATCATCACAAATCCCTTCACATTTCTTTACATTGCTTTGTTCTGTGGTTCAGTTAACTTCAAGGCTAATGTTTCACTGTTAAATGTACACACATAAATTTCCCCTCTGCTCAGGGGTCCAAGCCCACATGACCCCTCGCATATATACGAGAGCGGCACGTCCACTCATCTGCTCCTCATTGTGGATCTTTAACACAGAGTAAAACCTCCGCCGGCATTTACAAGACACTTCATCCACATGACCCTGACACACTTTGTATCTACACTGAAAGACACAGTGACTTATGGGGGCTATCCAAGCTTGTGATGGGGTCCTCCACCTGCTTGTCACCATAGATGTTACTGCTCGGTTTGGAATGTAGCTCAGGATTGTATTGAGAATCAAGATTCAAGAATGTATTTGTGATTTGCAGTAAAACCACGGTAAAACATTTCAAATATGTAATGGCAGGTGGTTTTACTGCTCAAAATCCAGTCCGTTGACAGTGAGTGTGGAATGTAGATGTGTCCGGTGATGTCACTGGCTTGACTTTGTAAGATTTTCATGTTAAGTCATCATTAAATGGGCCTAATCTGTAAAAAGGCATTAATAAACCATGCTCTTTTGGATTACTTATTTAACAGTGGTTCGGCCCGAGATATTAGAATATAAAAATTAGTTTCACAACCCCTAAATTTCGTTATTGTTTTCATTTCGATGTCCCGCCCTCCACCGTTTTACCAATCACAGAGTCTGTGATCTGGGTTGCCAGAACTCATCGCGTCGAGCTAATCTCACTGCTAAAGTAAGAAAGAAATGTTTTGTTATGATTCTCAAATAATTAATGACAAAACAAGGAATAAAACCAGGATCTCTATCTTTGTCAAAAGGTGTTGGTTATAGATTTGTTTTTGATAAAACTATATGAAAACTGTATATTCAATTATTATGGTCCCAGTTGGATGCATGCTGCATATCTGGCAACCTGAGTCAGAGAGCGTGGGAGAGGTTGCAGTACCACTTTTGGCCAGATTTTTACATACTGCTCCTTTAATGCTATAGTTAAATACAAAAACAAGACAAGATATCCTCAGAGAATGTAAATGGTTACAATGTCAAAAGCGAACGGTGAAGAGGATTTGTCACGGATAAACAAGGAAGGACCCAAAAGTAAAAACCAGGGACAAGACATGGTGAAAAACAACAGCAGGACTCTGGAGGACAGGATCTAAAAATACACAGGTGTAACATTATTAGGGCGGCGCAAACAACAACAGACAGGAAGTAAACCTCAAACTCAACAAAAGAACAAATATATATCAAAATAAAACCAGCCAAAAACAAAACAAGTCTATTGCCTCTAAATAACAGCAATTTATTTTTCAAATTCAATTAAATTTCCTTTTTATTTTTGCATAGCCCTAAATCACAACAGTCGTCATCTCGGAGTACTTAACAAAGTTGTTGATTCGCCAACACAGATCAGAGAATCAAATCGATTTAACACAAGAAATGCAATGTTAAAACCACATAGAGCCATTGATCCATAAATTCACAAGTTTCCCTCTTTACATCCAGTGTGGTAATGGACTGTGGTTTAAGCGAAACGTTTTAAATGGCTGATTATCATGACTTAAAATCCAAATTGAACCGGGATAGTGAGGGATGTGAGGATTTCTTTTTCACGAGGAGACTGTCGACAGAGGTGGGTAAAACCGAGCACCCGGAGGAAAACTAATAGACACGGGAGAACACGCAAACTCCTTCAAAGGCCATGTGAAGACCAGGAGTCAAACCCAGGACCAGCTGCTGAGTGAGAGCGCTAACCCCTCAGCCTACTTTATACATGTTAAAAAAATAATCTATTATCATCTGTCAGAAAGATAATAATAATAAAACCTTCTTCACTTTCCGTGCATGAATACGTTTTTAAGAAGCTCCTCGTCTGTTCTGTTTGCCTCTGTGTTTTTGTGTCTCTGATGAGCGTCGGTACCAGGCACAGTGTCCTCTGGATCAGTCCTGACCCCCTCCTCCCTCCTCCCTCTCTCCCCTCTTCATCTCCTCCTCCTCCTTCTTCTCTTCACTGTGGGCGTCACCTGTAGAATTTTCAGGGTGTAGCACTGAGCAGCACTGATACCAGACAGCAGCCAGTCCTACGCACACAATCATCATTTTATTATTTTTATTGGCTGTCAAGGACCGCAGTGTGTGAAAGATCAACGACATAGTTTAAAACAATGATAATAAATGATATTGAATTAATGGTTGTTCCAATGCTACTGTAGCCAGTTGCACAAAAATACATGAAAACAACCTTCTTCTAGGTACTTTTCTCTGTCAACAACAACTTTTCTCTGCCTAGAATACAGTAGACTTATGTGATGTCACACAGATTAACCTCACTATAGTAGACAGGTCAAATATATTATTCAAAATTATCAAGTAATCTGTGATCAAGTTGTCGTTACAATAATTTTGTATTTTTCTGACAATTCTCAATGAGTCTTTAGGGTGTGATAAATATGTATTAAAGTGCAAAACATTCAGAACAATTATGTCTAAGTTCATAGAAATCTACCATCCCCAACATTAGGATCAGGCAACACTCTGGACCTGCCCGTCTAAGTGAGACAAATATTCCCATGTGAAATGTGCGGCGAAGTATGTGACAGCACATTCCTGCTAAATGTTTTACGGTGATTTAATGCCTTCAAGTCCAAGTCTGGGTTTAAACTTTGTTACTAAAAGTTCCTTTCGATCCTATCTCTCCCGGCACCGGCCCACTTTCTAGACCACTCAATTTTAAATGAATATAAATGGTTGTTTTCATAGCAAACAGCTGAGAGTATGGCACTGGCAAATGCTTATAGTCGTTAAAAAGAAAAACAAAAGTAGGAAATTCTTGTAAAAAGGTGGCACTTAAATTGTTTTTTTTCATGTCTGGCAAAAACACTGCAGTTCACAAGACAGCCAAACATTAACATTTCATATACAAAGTTATAAAGTTATTCCGCCTGCTTCATAACAGCTTTAATACAATGTGTGCAGAAAATGCGATGGTGAAACACGGCTACATTCCAGAACTGAAAACTTCTCCAAGTGACTAATAGAAATGAGTTCAAAGGCCAAAGCAACAGGAACAAGGCTGTGGATATGACTCCAGCAGAAGCACTGGAGACTTTCACTTCTAGTCATCCAGCAGGGGTCCCACAAGGCTCTTAAAAAGGGAGAATATAGTGTTTCCCAAACGTGATGAAATTGTCAGGAATTAGCTTAGGAAATATGAGATAAATTTAGATCGCCTTGTTCGGATTAGATCATTTTCTTAACAAAAGTCACATAGTCATATATTCATAGATCAGGAATGTTCATGGTTTGGGATTTGGCAGTTGACAATAAACCCGTCCACAAGAGGGCAGTAAAATAAGACCGCTTAATAAATGACTTGATCCAATACGAATCAATGTCACATTCATAATTGGGAAACTGGGTCATCAAATACATATACACTGTACGTATATTCAGTTCCAGACATGGTTAAAACTTTTCTGTATCATTATATCTTGCATTTGCCTGTGATTTCGTTACAAAAATACAGCTCACATTACAAATAAACATAAACATTAAATGCACTTGCACATTGTAAGTTATTGAGGTTTGGCTAATATTATTTACACTTTCCCCCCTCACAAACCTATCAGAGTGGATGCCTGTTTGGGCTCTGTGTTTCCTCTCCTGGGAGGGGCTTGTCCCGCTGCAGATCTCAGGACCAGGGCTCTGACCTCTGGAGTGAAGTCCAGGGTTTGGTCTGTGTTTGGCTCTTTAATCTTAGACCAGATGGATCCTTTGATGGACCTGCTCTGCACCACCTCCATACATCAACATCTCCCTCTCTCTGCTCTCACATGACCATATTGTTCTTCAAATCACTACTGCTTATGCACTATGCAGCTATACATGGTACATAACAGGCAACAACATGAAAGGGTGAAACATTAAAAAAAAGAAGTTTATAACAAAGTATTGACTATTCTAATGATAGTGAATACCCCCACTCCTATGTCTGCTGTTGTTGTGTCCCTGGGCAAGACACTTAACCCCACTTTGCCTGCAGCCCTCGCTGAATGAATGAATGAATGATTAGCACATTATTTGTGAATTTGATTTCCTCTCTCCTCTCTGAGCTGGAGTCATTAGTCCCTCTATGACTCGGGAGGGGAAGTCCACACTGCTCACCAGACCAGGAGATGATGGTCCATGGAGAAAAGCTGATTGGACATTTATCCATCCATTTTCTTCTGCTTTAACCATGGCTGGTTTACAGTGACAGCAGTATGAGCAGAGACGTCCTCATCTGGGATCCTGAGGTGTTCCCAAGCCAAGTAGCTGCAAGACAATGTAGAGAGTTTAGTAAAGACTCAGTTCCCTTCTCCACAACAGTCAGATACAACGACCGCATGGGCTCTACACGAGAGCTGGTCCAGTGTTCCACAGTCAGCATGAAAACCACATCAAGTCTCATCTTCAATATCTCAGATAAGAGAACAAGGAGAGTGGTCCCAGGGCAATCAGCGCTTTGGGGGACCTTGGTCTGTAAAAATGTGCTATGTTAATAAAGAGTACTTACTTACTTATATATATGTATATATAGGACAGAGCCAAACTTTCAGTTCACCTGTAAATATAAACATGAAAATCATGTATATTTTATTATGAATAACTCCGCAGTTTATACTTGTAACCCTGTAACCCAGAAAAGGTCAACTATGATGTTTGCATATGGCCTGTAATCGAAGGACACATATAAATGTAATTTAACATGAAAATATGACTGTCCCTTTAAATAACTCCATACATAATGCACTTTTCCAGAACCTTTGTATTAACCCGCTATATGTTTATTTATGTTATTTACTTTCCCTCCCACGGGCCTCTGCTGTCAAAGCTCTCCTTTCATAACGACCACTACTGTTACCAAACCTCATCCATTAGACACACGTATTGTGTTTTCGCTCAGCACTGGTCCAGAGGGGGGGATTTATGAGCATGTTTGTCTTTAATCATTAGTTAAAGTAATAGAGTTGTACGCAGCAGTCTCACAATGAGGTGCTGAAGTGCTCTGTGGAGGAAACCTGACACAAATACAGGAAGAGTGGCTTTTCAGAGCCAAGCAGGAGCCGTCTGATGGACTGCACTGATTACTGCCTGGACTTCATATTGTGGTGCGGGTCCTGGGTATATAGACTGGTTTTAATTCACAAATGCAAAAAATGGAAAGTTCTGAATGCAAAAGGTGCTGAAAAAGTAAGGTAGTCACCGAAAACTTCGACCATTCAAGCAGCACAAACTATAAATCCATGAAACTAATCCGCGGAGAAGAGGTGCGTTGCTG